TATGCTTCTTCTGATCAAACAGCGAGCGACATCGGCACTGATAATTGACGAGACCCGCTAGAAATCACGCAGAAAGGGAGCCCACTGAGACCACAGGGGCTGACAAATCACTGCTAATAATCCTGTTAGGAACAGCGCGGCCAGCCGAGTTCGCAATAGCTTTATTTTTATAAAGTAGGCGCTGACAGTATAAAAGACAACGAGATCTCTTTAAAAAAAAAAAACAACAGAAGACAGTGTAGCATAATAGTACTTTTCCCACCAGCAATTCTCAGCACAGTTTGAATGGGAAATATGGTTTTTACTATATAAGTGCCCTCTCTTTCTTTCTTTCTTTCTTTCTTTCTAACTTTTCAGTAACTTTAGGTTTTGATTCCTCTCCTCCTGTGGTTTCCACGGTCAAGTGAGACTGTTCAAAGAACTGCTTTAAGACAAAACAACTATAACACTACTTGTAGTTCTCTGGTAAAATTGAACTATAATTTGAAAGTTTTCCTTTAGTGCCCCTGATTAATTTGTCGACATGTTTTGCGAGATTTTGATTCAGATAATAACTTCTAGTCAAGATCAAACAAAGTGAAACTCCAAGCCCGATAATGACTATTTCCTTCCCATTTCCTTAAAAGAAAACAATAGACCCCAAACACCCAAAATCAACAATAACATAAACCTCTGTGGGTCAAATAAGACATTCTGGTTTATAAATAAACAGGGTTCTTTCTCTTGGAATTTTTTGTTTGTTTTGTATTCTCTCCTTTATATTTCCCAATCTCTCTCCTCTAGCAAAGAAACATCTAAAATACTTTTAAAAATCTGTACATATTATTTGAATGTGGGTAAAGGAAAGGATGGGGAGATGGAAAAGAGAAGTATTCTTTTCCTAGTGAGTATATATGGTTTTATACAGGACAGTGTTCTTTGAAGGCTGCTCTGTCGTCACACAGTGAATCTTGATCATCTAAATACATGTTTTAAATCATGACCAGCTCAGCTGTTCTTCCTTCTAGGCCTTAAAAGACAATTTTCCCAGGACCCATTTGCCAACCTGCCTCCTAGAAGATAGTTTCCAAGCGGGCTAGTCTTCTTGATTCAACCTTAAGTATTTGGATCCTAGCCTTTTATCTCAGAGATAATACCAAACTCGGAGTTGCAAATCATGAAGACCCAGAGTTAGTTTCAGAATCTGTGAGTGTCTCAAAAACTCAGAATACATTTGCTATAAGCAATCAAGAGACTGGGTAAATCCAGGACAAATTTGTTCCTAAATATGCCTGCTTCTCTTCTGTAGAATTAGAAACTCAGAAATTATTATCTAGCTTAGCTAGCTCCATGTACATGGGTCTATCTATATGTAGCAAAAATACAAGAATTTGGCAATGTTCCTGCCTTCTGCTAGATACAATTCTAACGAGGAATTAAAGAAAGAAAGGAAGAAAGAAAGTCAGTCAGTCATGTTTGGATTACTTGTACTTTCAGTCGAGCTCAGTATCTGAAGTGTTGACAAAAGCACTGTTGGGCTGCATCCCAACCAAACATATCCGATGCATGGGAGAGAAAATATTAATGGGGAAGTAGAAAGGGCCACAAAAAGGCAATAGGAATCTAAGTTCAGAGAGGTCCTGAGTCAAGCAGCCATGCTAAACTTCCCTTTGCAGAGAGTGTGTACGTACATGTGAATGCAATCCTCTGTTCAGTGGTGTAGGCTCACTCACTGGCAAACCTCTACCCCTTCTGTTTGAAATTCCATCTGGGCAGAGTCACTTACCTTCTGGGAACACAACTCTCATTTTGAGATAGCTGGTGGTGAGCCTGATTATGGATGCTTTGTCCAGCTGCGAGGTGATCGCTGAGGGCAAAGGCAGTAACTTAGCCAGTTCATAAAATTCACTGTTTTCCTTCTCCCTCCTAGTCCGCGCAGCATTTTTGGACTTCTCTTTCATTGTGTCTCGTTCTCCCTTTCTTCTTACAACATAAGCTCCACAGATTCATTCAAAAGCAAAAATAAACTCTCAATTAGAGATCATATTGGCAAAAACATAGAGCCTACTTTGAATGAAGAGACGGAAGTCTTTGCTTCAGTGTACTGATGTCAGTGAAAGACCAACGCAGAGAAGAGAAAATTATTTTCTTTTAAAATACTGGACGCGAATGTGGGAAAGTTGTTGATCCACGGCAATCTGGACAATCCTAGGAGTCTCTGGGTATCAAATGCTGGCGGGACCCCTGAGAAGCCAGCCTTTTCTTCTGTTTGGCGCGGCCAAACCCGGTCCCCAAAAAATCGACATAATAATCCCCGACGTTTGCTCTTCAGTCCCGAGGCATTTGAGGCGGCTCCGAGCTCCTTTGGGAAGAACTTGGGAAGCACAGGAACGCCGGACAACTCTTTCAGGCCACTGTGAAGACAACAGCATCAGAGCGTAAGGGATCTGCAGCTCCGCAATCACTCATACACTCCCCGAATTCCGAAAAACGGGCGGAAAGGGCCTCAGCGCGCCTCTCCAGGCTCGGTGTTTGTTTGTGCGTATGTTTGTTTGTTTGTTTGTTTGTTTAAGATATGGAGGAATCGGCGGCGAGACTGAGCCCCCTGCAAATAATGCTCTCATTCCCTCATCCATGCCAACCACATACTCCAGCCCCCTGGGAAGTTGCCCAAATCACAAAATGTATATTTTTGAAGACACTTAGCAGACCCTCAGTCGCCGGTCCCCGTGCCCGCGCCCAGGCCAGTCGCACGTCCCAGAAAGCAGGGTTCCACAAATCAGAATTCCTCCACAGTGCTCAGGCCGCCTTTCAGGCCCCCCAGTTGGGCAGATCTGGAATTTGGCTATCTCTCTAACTTGGGTCTCAACTCTCAGGGATTCCACAAAAAGTGGCACTTACGCATCAAGTCCCTCGGGACTCCCAAGGCGACCCAGGGCTCTCCCTGCCCAGCGGGAGCGGCAACACGCCGGGCACGGCAGCGCCAGGTTAACAGGTGGCACATTCATGACAGCCCCTCGCAGGCACGGGGAGGGGGGCAGTGGGAGGCGTACCGGCCTCTCCCGGTCCGCCGCAGAGCTGCGGGTGCCTCTGGGCGGGCGCAAGGTGTCTTCGCTTCACCTACCTTCAGTCCCCGCCGGCGGCAAAGGGTGCAGAGGCGCCCACCTCTTAATTGTATTCATGCCTACCATCCAACTCCTCCGGCCTCTCGGCTTCCCACCGGCAGAGAGGAGCGGAGCGCGTCCTGGCTCGCTTTTCTTTTCTCGGTCATGAATTGGGGGAGGGGTGCGTGGGAGAAGGAGGGGAGGATGCAGGCTTTGGGACGGGTGAGGTGGTTTTAGAATCCTCCTCCTCGGTAGTTGCTACGAAGCCAGTATTATTCCTAATTGGAAGCCGAAAACGCCCCCCTGTAACTTCTTTATAGCTCACAGGGTTTAGCTTCAACTTCACTCCCGGGCTCCCTCTCTCCCGCCCTCCCTTAATGCCATTCACAAACTTCCGCGCGTCCAATTGGCTCGCCCTGCCGCGGGAAGAGGCGCTCATTGGCCGGCCGGGCTGAGTGACGCGAGCACGACCCGAACCACCCCCTGCGCGCCCCGGCTCCTGGCTCGCCTCTCGGCTACCCGCGTGGCTGCAGCGCTCCTGACGAGCCCTGGGCACCGGTGTCGGCAATGCCCGGCAGCGGCCGCTGCTCCCGGCCTCCAGGGGCCTCGCGGGTGATGTGCAGGACCCTCGCTTCCCCGCTCTCCCTGGGGTCGAGTGGCTACGCACCCAGTCCCGAGGGCTGGCCCCGCTGTGCCCCGCGCGTCCGAAAGCGGCGGGCTGCGGCCTGAGGCCGCAGAGGTCGAGCCGGGGGACTGGGGCTCCTGGCGACGAGGCTGGAGTCGCCCAGACTGCGAGCGCGAGTCACCCAAAGGCCGAGTTCGCGGCCGCGCCATTCCCATTGGCAAGTGGTGGGGCCCACTGCTTGCACCCGCCGCTGTTGCGCTTTCTCTTTCACGTTTCTCTGAAACCCCAGCGACACTGAATTCATCGCCGGAGAAGATTTACATGTAGCCCTCCACTGGCTTTCCTTAGTTCTTTTTTGTACTTATCAGCCTTTTTTTGCTTGGTGAATTGGTTTGAGTCTTTTATTTGGTTGGTTTTATAGCCTCAAATATATTGATTACGTATTTAGAGGCTTAAATTTTTGTGTTGAGATACCATTTCATTTCTCTCTGTCTCTGGCCTTTCCATCTTTCCTAAACTATTTCCAACTGGGCACACCAGGCTTTCGATGTGTGTCCCAACATTTTAGTCCTTTTACTTAGAAAACCCTTACTGCTATGTCAGTGTGATCCTGTTCCTCGTCTAACTCAAAAGTAAGGTGAAAAATCACCACTTCCTGATTGCTTATAATGGATACCAGGTGGAAACTCATTCTTGTACCACACCCGGAACCATTTCCCTAATTTATGCCTGAACCAAATGGGTTGACTGGTTGATATCACAACCAAGAAACCAGTTTACAAGATGTAGCTCTCTCTCTTTCTCTCAGTTATTTTAGGAATGGAAATTTCTTTAATAAGCTTAATGTGCTAGGGTTAAGAAAACTTACCCATTTGGGTTGTATTTAAGGTATACAGTCAACATTTCTGCATGTAAAGTGTACACAGCAGTGTGTGGAGGGTGGTCAGTGTGTGTGAGGTTTACTGGAGCATCACAGTGCAATGCTGTCTTCTACCAGTCCTTTAATGTGGTATATATGCTCACTTAATCTACACGAGTACTTCTCAAATTAAAATTTATCTATTCTGGTTCCCATATAATTAGAGGGGCAATTTATGTATTCATTTAACTCCATTATCTGCGTGTAACCCTGAATGCTAGTGCTCTTTGATTTTGCAGGAACACATGTCAAATATCCAGTAACTTAAATTATCCTCTCTAACCATCTGTGGCATAGTAAATGCTGGTAATGGGGCATTAAACTATAAATATGTTTCAGAGAGCCTTAAAGAACACAATATTTTAGAAAAACATCAGCTTCCATTGGTTATTATAACAGATGTTCCCTTGTGTCCTTGTGCAGGGTCTGGCTGCATCCTTAGATGGGAAGCGACATCAAAGTGTGAGCCATTACAACCCAAGGAATAGTTTCTAATGGTTTCACTGTCATATAAGTGCTCCAGGGCATATCCAGTTAATGTGTAAGCGTGCTTATCAAAATACTGCCGGTGAGAACCAAAGCAGTTTGGAGAGACGGCAGGATGGTCTCCTGCTGTCTGATGTGGAGACATATCCGAATGTAGATAGTCTTTAGCTAGGATCAAACTGGATTTTGAAATGCGATCCGAATTGGGACTACTGATTCGAGACAGTGCAGTGGGACTGTTGTCATAGTCATTTTCGTGGGGGCTCAGCATCTTTCCCTCTCTCTGCTGGATGTGGTCACACGGTGAAGTGCTGGCAAGAGCCGAGCTGTGGCAGACTTCCCCTGCTGGCGGGGGCTGTTGGTAGTTTGCAAAACAGAGGGAGTGTTTTTTCCCAGCTCCATTAATGGAAGCCAATTGGTCTGGGGGGGCCTTCCTTAGCTGCAATCTGTTCTCTTCTTCTTTAATCATTTGCTGGGTGGCTCTTATCAGAGTTTCAATTTTGCTAGGTTCGTGTGGGCTACTTTGATACTGCTCAGTGCGGTATCGGTCACCTGATTCGCTGGCAGACCCAGGGTCTGGAGAACTGACCACACTATCTTCATCCCAATGACCTCGCCCTAGAAATTAGAAAAAGGAAAAAGTAAGTGGTCTCAAAATTGACCCCCAAAACTGTGTGTTTCTTTTTCCTATTAAAAGAAAACTTCATCTTTCATTTTAAATATATGCACCAATATTTGAAACAGACATGGGCTCGCATGACAAAGCGTCAATGTATTGTACTGGCATTCACAGTTTTCAGTGGCTTTTAAGTGCAGATGAAGTTTATCACAAGTTTTTTAGAAAGTAAACCTTGCCCATGGGTCCTAGAGGCCAATTAACAAAATGATACGAGTGTTTATACTTCTCCATGTATGCATATCGTTGGACCTGTCTGACTGCAAATAATAAAAGAAAAATGCATACATAACATTTGATTGATGAGACTTTCTAGAGAAATGTTATGCTTAGAAAATGCTTCCCATTGAGTTTGAGGAAGATGATGATAGAGACTGAACTACCTTCCCAATTCCAAATAAATCATCTAAAATGTTAAAATCATTAAGTGTATCCTAAGTAGAATTACAATAAAGCTCTAATGTTAGTTTTAAAACCATTCGAGGGTTAGATAAATACATATATATTCATAAGTACAGATATGTGTATATGCATGCATGGATATAGATATCTTGTCCCAATCAAAAATATAAATATTGTCTCTTCAAATCTAGAGATAAAAATCTCAGTTTCATATATACTCATACAGTAACTCTGGTATCTTAGTTTCTGAAGCAAGGTAAAGAACAAATAAATATTTAAAATGTTAATAGCAATCTGTTCTGAACCCCAGAGCGAGATCTAATACAGGAACAATGCATCCAAAATATATTCCATAAGCTACATTATTCTTAAAGCAGTGTGAAGTCAATATAAAAGGGGAAAAGAAAAGCAGGAAGGGACATATGAAAGCTGTAAACTGCTTAATGCAGAAAAGAAGCCCTGGATCACACTGTTCATTGCTTTCCTTTTCCTCTTTCTTCTTATTTTATTTCTAATATTTTCTTCCAGACCATGTAGGTTAAGCCGGGATTTTCGCTTCACTCCATTCTTTGGCAAGCAATTGCCCTTTGCCCTGGGTTTCCATTACCAGTCTACCACACTAGAGAAACTCAAAGCAAAAGCAGAAAAATAAAAAGCAAAAACAGAAACAAATGAAAATCCTTCGTGGAAGGCCGTCAGTGCCTGGGTGGTGTTTGACAGAGACTACGGGTGAATGACAACATTGTTCAGCACGTTTCCCACCCTAAAGACCCAGCCAGAAGGGTAATATTACCCTGTTAGATCAACCTTAATGTCACTGACTTTTAATGAAACAGGGAGGGTGTCAGAGACCTGTCTGGGCCCAAGCCTGGAATGGACAGAACGGGCTCTCCCTCACCAGTTTACTTTGAAATGAACAAAGAAGAACGTTACTGACCCTAAAAGCTTCCACCACAGTGCCCGTTTCTATGTGGTCGTAAAACTGTACAATAATCCCAGGGTGAAAATTTCCATGGGTTCTATATATCATTCCATCTTTCACCCACAGAAGACACTATGGGTTTTTATCATAATGCAGGAGGGGGTGGTTACCATATTTAATGCCCAGCAGAGGGTTCAACCACCTGTGAAGTGAGCGACAGACCGTACAGCAAAGCCTGGACTCCCCAGGAGGTCAGTGGTGGCCTCATTGAGAAGCACTGCTGATGACCCCCAAAACTACAGAGGTCTACTTTTGAAGCATCAGAATACAGAAGAAAATCATACGCAAGAAATTTAAACACATACATATTCCATGTTCAACAGACTTACTCAATATCTGACTTTCACTTAATTTCTACAGTTTTTATGATGTTTACACTGGGAATCATTTTTACTCACATGCCAAAAATAAATGCACCTGGCAAGCATGAGCAAGATTCATACACTTAAAAAGAGTGGCTGCCCCTTGTAAAAGCCCACTGATGCCAGTTCCGGATTTATCAATTCAAAGGAGAAAACCGCTGGGTCAGTCCCTGCGGCGTCAAACCTAGACTCTCAGAAACCAGCCCAGGGGCCCAATGCTGCCAGCTCAGGACTCATTTCAGCTGCCCTTACCGTGGATCCTGTGGATGGAAGCGATGTGAGGCATGCTGTTTTCATAGGCTTCTCTGCTCTCTGGGGAAGACTTGGTCAGGGGCAAGGCTGCGCGAGAGCCCCACCAGGGCTCCCTCCCGGCCTGCGGCGTTCCCAGGAAGTACCTGCCTGCCTCACACCGGCCACCCTCGCAGGCCTGCGTGTGGAAATGCCTCTCCTCCACCAGCCTGGAATGGTCCAGCGCAAAGCCGTAGCAGAGAGAGCTGCGGTCAGAGAACTGTCTGTAGGCGCACGATGCGTCGTGCTGAGAGCCCGGTCTCTCTGCGGGGTCCAGGAGCTGAGGAGAGGCCGTGTCGGTCAGGGGACTTCCACCCCACTGGCTGTCGTGATCAGACTCAGATCTTTCCGTGTGAAATCCTGAATACTGAAACCAAGAGAATGAATAAAGTACATTTCAAAAAAAAAAAGGCGGGGGGGGAGAAAGCCTTTTTACTCAGCCATATACCATGAAGGTCATGTTGGGCTTAAAGGCACCAAAATAAACTCTACAAACTCTGGCCCCACACTGGGCACTGGGAATCACTTAATCAGTCCCGCAGGAGGTAAATGAGGTAATGTCAGGGATGAAGGAACTAAACACCAGGCACAGCAGACGGGCTTCACGTGCGTGACCTCACCTCGTTCTTCTATCAACCCTTTAACGAAGATATTAGTGAACCATTGCATGAATAGAGAAACTAAGGCCCAATAGAGAAAATGATTTGCTCAAGGCCACAGGGGAGCAGGTGGCAGAGTCAAAATTCAAACCCAAGTCCTTCATCCCTTCCCACATGGTATTGCCAGAGGGAGAGCCCAAGAAAGCTCCATATTTCATTCCCATTCGCCGTTCAGATTTTTTTTTCTTAATTTAAAAACAAAAGAAAAATAAGGCCCGAAGTGCTGTTACCTTCACTCTTCACACTGGCCTGTGAACTCCCCGAGGGCCATGCTGGATACATGCTCAGACAACTAATGAAGGCTTAACTAATTCCATGGCAATATAACTTTTAAAAAGACTGGTGCATATGGGCTGAACCCAGTCACTAGGAGGCATTTCTTGCTTTCCTAGGTAAAACTCCACGTATGCATGGGATCCTCAGGATAAAACAGCCGCACAATACTGGCCTCGTTGGAGTCATACTGTTCATCTGCTGTCAGTTATCTAATCTGGCATTGAAAGAAAATGCCAGAGGTTTGGCAGACCTCCCTAGGAGATAGGCTCAGTTGGAAGTTCCTCATGAGCCACTCAAATTAATAATATAGTTTCTACCAGTTTTTGGTTACACAAAGCTAAACACAAGTCTAGGTCCCATACAGAGGTTACTTGTTCTGACAATCGTAGGTGCCATTTATTGAGACCTTACAGTGTGTCTGGCGGTTGCTAATCATGGTACATACATTCCATCACTGAATCCTCACAACCCCCCGAGCAGTAACAGCACTCCATTTTACAGATGGGAAAACTGAATCACTGAGTGTTCTAATAAGATGGAACAGCCACCTGCGGTCCATCTGGCTCAAAGCCTACCCTCCAACCATGTTTTACAGAGAAAACACTGTCAAGGAAGAGAGGAGAGAGAAAAGGATTCAGTGTTAGAGACATTCCCAGAAAAGAAGCAGGAACCAAAATATAGTCTCTAGAACCAAAATATGAGTCCATTACATTTTTTTTCTTATCCCGGGAGAAAGAGGGATGGATGTGTGGTGCTGTGGGGCGCCCAGGAGAAATTCAGGCAGCTCTGGCTAGGGGCTCTTGGAGCCAGAGAAATGCGGTACAGAGGTTCTGGGGGAACCCCGAAGTCTGCTAATAACACAACATGATCAAGAAGGAGTTCTACACAAATTCCAAGCTCGAGATCTTTCTGTTACCATACCTCATTATTACTTTAATTATTTTCCAAGGGTATATATGGACTATCAGCATATGCCACCAAGAAAAAAAAAATAGTAAATGCAACTTCTTTCCCTGAAGAACCACAAGGCACCCAAAGTACCATTTCCCTACATCACACTTCCATCTGCCATCAGCCTTTTCTCCCCATTAACACTGGGCTCTCATTTTATGAGACACCACCTTCACTTTCACCGAAGGAATGTTGGTACCCCTTTCTTTATTGAGGGGGAATCAGAGTGTCATACATTTGCCCTTTGGTAACACCATTTGTGCACCTGCCTAGGAAAGTTTCAGATCATCAGTGCTTTTCCAAGCTAGGAATTGCCCAGACTCTTCTTGTTTTGATAAAAGTATAAACCAGGCCTATTTCTGAAGTACTCCAGTCAAGACTTTTGAGCCTTGTTGAGAGGGGAAAAAGCTTTCCCTGAGTGTGTATGGGAAAGTGCTATTGGCGCAGCACAGAAGAACATTCTGTCCTTCACTCACAAAGAAAATTCAACACAAGGCAACCCTGGCATACATGAGGTACATGTTTCAAGAGCACCCAAAGAAGAATTTGATGGATAAGCCTCTTGTCAATAGTCAGGAAACTATGACAGCAAGTCACTGTCCTTGAAGCAGGCGGAAGTTGGGTGGTTGAGTTAGACCAAGAAGATCGTTACAGAGCAAAAGCCTAGATGCAAACCTTTGTTTTTCAAGACCTGTAAACCTGTACCTAAGTGTATCAACGATCCTCTGAGCCACATTCACCCCTTTAAAATGAATGGCACTGGATGTAAACTCTGTTGAGAACCCTAGAGACCCACCCATTGATCTGAAAAATTTCAGGTGTTTGTCAAGTCTTAGAGGGAAGAGAGAGAGCAGAAAGGAAGGCAGGCGGCCGGTACATGCGGAACGTGCCATACACTCAGTGGGTGCTGCATGAGGTGTGAGGTCTTCCTCACACCTACCTTTGCTGCTTACTACATATACAACCTTGGGCAAGTAATTTAATTTCTTTTGTCCCAACAGGAAAAGGCTCATGAAGATACTTAACTTATCAAAGGCAAAACCAGAATGGGGGCCATTTAATGGAAGAGGAAATAGGTACAGGGAACCAAGAGAACCTGATTCCAGGTCCACCCTGCTAGTAACTCTTAGGGTAACCTTGGGCAAATTACTTTACCTTTCTTAGGCTCCCCTATAAATGATATATTGGATTAGGTTAGATGCTCTCTAACTTTTCTTTCAGCTTTAACATTCTACATGATAGAATCATTATTCGGTATCCTTTCTAGTGTTAAAACATAGGATTCCTGTGCCTGTCCCTTTTACTGATTTAAAGGGGATAAATTATTTAGAACTATAATCCAAGTCCAGGAATTTTTATTGTCATGGTTATAAAAAGAAAGTTGTTATGTAAGTTTTATTTTACTATTATGTAAATGTTCCCCCAAGTGTCCCCTTAAAGCACAAGTTTTATGGGGACTACATGATGCCTTTTGGTCAATAAATTATTATATTCTAGAGGCTTCTGACAGGATAATGACGGCCATTTGAATGTGTACCTCTTCACAAATACTACCCCTAGAACAAAGAGCACAAATGGAATCACCCATGACCCATGCTATCGGCATTACTGAGAGGCAGAGAGTATGCTAAATTTCAATTTATAAAAAATAAAAATAAAAAGTCAAACAGCAAACACTATGAACCTGTGGGTCCAGAGAGCAGGGTAAGGGCAGGTATAAGAAACTCCGAGAGTGAGATGTCAACCAGAGAAGAGAGAAAGAGAGAAGTTTGAGAGAAAGAGAGAGAGTGAGTTTAGGACAAAGGGAAAACAGACAAAATTGTCCACAGAAAGAAAAAATACATCAGAAGTAAGTGCCAAAATAAGAACAGAAGTCAGTATCTGGTAGTTCACCATACTGGCCACAGGGAAAGGGCTCAAAATCAAATAAAATCTAAGGCAGCAGCCTGGGACAAGTATCGTTTTCATAAGAGAAAAATGTAAATTGAGAATGCCTTGTGTCGGAAAGGAGATAGCAGTGAAAGGGAAGGAGGAAAGGGGGAAACTAGGGATCCAGAAAATAGAAAAGAAAAAAAAAAGACAGGTGAATCCTTTCTTTCCTCTCTACCACTGTCGTCATCCATTTACACAACTGTATTTCACAATATTGATAAGATAGGGTCCTTTTTAAATAGTAACTCAACCCATGAAATTCTAAGGAGTAGGGGAAAAAATTAAACTCTCTATAAAACTTCTGTAGGAAAACAAAACATGAAATGGAAACACGATCATCTCAGCTGATAAAAATTCTCATCAAATAACCAACTATGTCACAAAGGAAAGTTGTAAAACAACACACCAACCTAAAATAAGAACCTAAAATAAGCACACACGATGTACTTGGGCGCACATGCTCAGAACCAGAAATGTTAAAACTAAGCGATGGACCCCAAAACCCCACCTAACAACAACAACAACAACAAAAGAGGGAAAAAGGCAACAAAAACTGACCAAACACACAGAAATTGAATAAGTGAAGAATAAGTTGCAAGTTGTGAAGAAAAGTATAGATTTGAATGAACATTTAATGAGGGAAATTGAAGATAATTTGGAAAACATGTAAGGATACAAAAATTGGGTAGAGAAAATTAAAAGGTCAAAGTAGTTGAAAGAAGATAGAAAAGGCTCAATACATACATAGTGTTTATGTAGAAGGCAAAGGAACTAGAATTGTCAGAACAATTTGAAAAAGAAGAATATAGTGAAAGAGAAAATCAACTTCAAGACTTACCATCATAACTGTGTGGTATTGATGGAGAAATACATGTACAGATCAATAAAACAGAATACAGAATCCATAAAGGAAACCATACAAATACACCCAACTAATTTTTTACAAAGGTGCAAAAACATTTCAACAGAGGAAAGACAGACTTCTCAACAAATGGTTGCTGAAATAATTGGACATCTACAGGCAAAAATAAAATGAACCTCAACCCAGGGCTCATGCCTTATATAAAAATTAACTCCAGTGGATCACAGACTTAAATATAAAATATAAATATATAAAAAACTTAAAAATAGAAATATAAAATTGTAAAACTTTTAGAAAATAACAAACAGAAGAAAATCTTTAAACTCTGGGACTCGGTAAAGATTTTTTAGACTTGATACCAAAACACGTGCATTAAAAAACTTTTTGGTAAATTGGACTTGATCAAAATTGAAAACTTTCGCTTTGTAAAAGATTTTGTTAAGAGGATGAGAAGAAAAGCTGTAGACTAGGAGAAAACATTTCAAAACCACATACCCAACAAAAGGACTAGAATCTAGAATATAAAGAACTCTCAAAACTCAATAATTTAAAAAAGGGGGCAAAAGACCTGAAGAGACATTTCACCAAGTAGATAATAAGATGACAATCACATGAAAAGATGTTCAATATCATTAGCAATTAGGGAGATGCAAATTAAAACCACAACGAAATATCACTATATACCTA